TAAATCCAAGTCTTCAGCTACCTGGGAATACCTGAAAGTAAAGCAAAGCACATTTAAATGTTTGGCAATATGAAATTAATAAATAATTGATATACCCTATAAAATTATCTATAGCTTCCGATCCTCATCTGGGAATATTTCTAAAGTGTGCGAGGGCATGCTTATATTGGTCAAGCATTTAGTTAGGTTTAGATTTATTACCGACTAAAAAGGCTTGTGCTAAGTTTATAGCTGATATTTAACCTATATCCAAGTCTTCAGTTACCTGGGAATACGCCAAAAAGCAGTGTAAAGAGCAAGTAAATATTTTCCAAGATTTTAATTGCTTGATACGCTGTAAAAGAAGAAGCATATGCTTTAGTTTACAGCTACCAATATGTCTTACTTAAAATATGTCTTACTTAATATATCTACAATGCTTTAGCTTTCTGGTAATACCCCTAACAAGTGGAAGGACATGTAAATATTTGTCAAGTGCGTTGCCACATCCTGTTATTATGTGACTTCCTGTAGCGATGCTCTCGTTATTTCTTACTCGGGCCACATCATTAAGTGTGAACTAAAAATACTCACCTGAACTTGTATATATATAAATACTTATATATATATATATAGATATATATTCCCCAGCAAAAACCGCAACTGTAGCTGTGATTAATCGCTGAAGGAGCTGCTTGTCTGTCCGACTGTGTGTCTCTCGGTCGGCCTGTCGGTTGGGTGCGGCACAAAGGAAAAAGTGAATAGAATTTTAGGCGAGCTCAAAAGCTCGGGTCATGAGGTATTTTGCCCATTACATCAGCGCACAAAAGTAGACTACAGTTGCGACTTTCTGTATCGCATTTTATTTAATTTATTGGCCAGCTTTAAGAGCTCCACTTGAATGAAAATACAATAATTATAGATAAAATATGCGGCTGGATGAAATCAATTTCAAAATTCAATTACAGAAAACACACAAATAAAAAGTGAAGAAATAAATGAAATTAATTTGCATTAAAAGCTATTGAAGGCACCTGTTTCTGCTCTTGCTCCTGCTAACTGTTCCTCCTCCTCCTCCTCCTTCTGGTTCAAATTCAAATTTAAATTGCCTGGAAAATATTTAAGCTAGGCGCCGCTTTGATCGCAGCCAAAAAAAAAATGCGTATAAATAATGTAAGAATTTAAATTAAATAGGCCTTTAAGCTGGCGTCTCTCTAAAAAAAATTGCCAACCGACACCCCGTTGACAGTCAGCAGTTGTGGCAAGTTTATTTTCTTTTGTTGTTGCTGACACTTGCAAATACTTTAATATAAATTTTTGCACAGTGGTTTTCTGTAGGCATCTACGCAATTTATCACAGATTGCAGCACAAATAATTAGAGCAGAAAACAGCGCTTGCAGGCTGCAAAACTGCACGTGTTCTTTGTTAGGCTATTAAAAATCCTCAAATCCTCACTTGACGCCCTACCTAGACTTAACACGAATCATAACTTTGCAATGACTAAACGGATTTTTATACCCTGAACCCATTAAAAATGGGTATAAGGGTATATTGCATTTGTGCAAAATCCAAATGTATCTAACAGGCAGAAGGAAGCATCTCCGACCCCATAAAGTATATATATTCTGATCAGCATCAATAGCCGAATCGATCTAGCCATGTCCGTCTGTCTGTCTGTCCGTCTGTCCGTATGTATGAACGCAAGGATCTCAGAACCTATAAGAGCTAGAGATGTAGGTGCTCCTAGTGCCCGCGCATCGAGTTTGTTTCCGACAATCGATAACTTACTCCGTTTCATAGCAATCGATACAAAATCGATATCGAGAGCTGGGGAGACAAAATAAGGTCGCGCTGCTTACTTCTATCCCAGAGATCTCATAGTTATTTCGTCTTCCTTCAAGCACAGCCTACGAAGTTGAGATTCGTCTTTATCTTACGTAATGTCTTTTAAAATTCATATTTCTGTATAAAGGCTAGCGAGGGATTCATTAGCCTTATCTTAATGTTAATACTACTTGCCTCGAACTTTATGTTATTTTAAGCACAAATTTGGATAGCCACAATCTATAAAAAATTAAATTTCAATTTTAACCACAGCTCAACGGGTTTTTTTTTCCCAACAAAAATTTTACTTGGTTTCAGTTGGAATCAATTTCTGGAATGAATACAAATACAAAGTGCATTTGTTCTGATGTTTGCCCTACGCTATGTTTAACACATTATCGAAATTAAGTATACGACTTAAAGTCGTCTTTATCCGTTTGTTGACTGGACGCAAACAGCAGACCGAATTGACCCAAATACCTGACTACATGTACGCATGCTTGTAGATACCTCAATGATACATTCATATCAATAAAAAAAAAAGAAAGGAAAAGAAGAAACCAGAAGAAAGTAAAGCCTACAGCTTGACCCAACTGCCATTTGCTGGCATTTTGCTACCTTTCTCAGTTTTACGACTTAATGACTCTGCTGGGATTAATATGACTAATGGTGCGCTGCTTTTCATTCGATACTGTTCGAGTCCTTTATATGTATATGTATGTATATGTGTGTTTATATATATGCAGACTATTTGGGCTTTTGTGCAATTCATGTCCAAATAGCCGCCACTGACGTGCCACACACACACACACACAGACACAGACCTACAAATAATTATGGCTCGAGTCGACTCTTATTTCGCTTTGTGTGCTGACATGCCATTTATATATGGGAAAAAGCCAAGTTGTGTATATACCTATAGGTAGGTATATTTGCTATTTACGCTATTGTTGACTCTGAATGACTATGGGATATCCTGTGGCTCCAGACCACTTTCTGAAAACATTTTAGCGCATGTAGTATAGTTCTCTTTTTTCTCTTATTTCCCCTCCAAGTGGGGAAATATGGTGGTCAATGTTTGGTTGAAAAACATTAAAAAGCATCGCGTCGTACCAATGAGCGTGATGTCGCCGGTTCAAAGCTACAATTGTACACAAACAATTTGAATACTGCTTCCATTTTCAACATTAGCCATTTGACCTGGGCGAAGCCGGGTAATTTCTTTTCGAATACAGATAAAAGTTGACTAAACGTTAAACATCTTACTTTCAGTTGGGCAAGTTATTTATTCAAGCCACGGTAGTCTACCCTCAATGCTCACTTTTCAGCACTCACTTTGTGCACAGTGTTGCCATTAAAAAGTTTATTCTTGTTTATGTATATATATTTAATTAATATCTAACATTTTTTGTTGATAAAGAACATATTTTTGCTTCCTTTGCTTTGTTAAGTTTAGTTAACTAAGCTTGTGTGTCTTTCTACCTTTCGTGTGTGTTTTAAACTCACTCAGTCATTTCCAACACTCATTTTCTTACTCCCAGCGTTGCCAGCTAGACAACTTTTACGGTTCATTCTAATTTTAAACACACTTTAAGGAATATTTGCCACGGCCTAACTACAGGCTATATGGAGGCATATAAAGGATATATTATCGGTTTCTTTAAGAGAAAATTTATAGTTAGCTACATTTTATGTGGGTTTCTACCTTTCGTGTATGTTTTTCACTGACTCGGTCATTTCCAACACTTACTTCCATACTCCTAGCGTTGCCAGCTAGTCAACTTTTACGGCGCATTCTAATTTTAAACACATTTTTATCACCTCGGCTTAAATACAGGACACATAGAGTTGAATAAAAAGCAAACAGCTGGAAATTTAAACACTCGACACACACACAGAGTTGGAGTGGTCGTTTGACTGTCATTAGCCGAGTCCAGCAGCACCACGAGCACCAATAACAACAACAAAATCAAACACTCAACAACAACAACAACAACAACAACAAGAGAACAACAACTTTTTATCAAGGCAACTGAACTAGACACTTGGAGCTGAAGGTGTTGACTCTTATCTATGGCATGCATCAGTCAGTCAGGAAAATTAATTAACAACAACATTGACACTTGAAAATTGGACGGAACACTGGCGGACGTGGGCGGTGCAGCTGAAGGCGGGCGGGCCACTCGTAAAGTCAACAAGCTGCTGAGGCGAGTCGAGTTTGGTAAGCGCTGCGCCATTTGCTACTCATGAATTGTTTTGTCATTGTTGATGTGGCTAGTTTCTGGCTACTGTTTATATAGTGTGCCGCACACACCCACACACACACACACACACACACTCAAGTGGCTGCTGGTCAAACAGCCTCAAAAGTAGCTCACTCTCAAAGCGAAATGAACCAAGAGACGTAGACGAAGATATTTTCCTTTGCGGTCTGTGTGTGTGTAAATTGTGGAAATAAATTTCATTTGACTGTTGTTTGCTTTCGGCTCTAGGTTAATATTTTCCCATCTGTGAGTGTGCGTGTGGGTATGGGTGACTTTCTGTGTTTTGGCTTTTGTGGTTTTAATCCTGCGCTCCATTCCGAAATATGTTTCAATTAATTATACACATTTCTTGTGCGCACACAAGTGCAACAACAGCTTTTGGTTAGTCGATGGTAGAATTTATTGCAGTGCATTAATTCACATATGATGAATGCCACAATTGATTCAACCTGTTATGTAGCATTTGTTGTTATAACTGGTTGGGAATTCTAAAATTAGTGTATTCTGTTAGTTTCATGGACTTGCCATATGCTGAAGCTACGAACTAATATCGAAATTGACTGCTTAAATTGAAAAAAATATTACAATTCGTATAAGAATATTTGGTAAAGTACAGAAGTTTATTGCATATATGGCTGAGGTTGATGTTGATCTATGCGAATACAAAGAGCTCGGCAAAATGTGTAATATATAAATGGGAGGCTTCTCCTAGCCCTTAGACCGTATGAGTTTTCATATGAAAACTATATTTATTTATTTGTTTGGCCTTCCGGACAGTTCCTTTCTTCCTTATTTTTTTTTTTATATACTATGCAATTATTATGTAAGCGCCTTTACATATAATATTATATAATAATTTTCTAGCTTTGCTTCTTGTTACCATTGAAGTGCTCGTTCGAGCTGTCATTCCCACGCTCTGTTCTCCGTTGCAGCTCGTAACTTCCGGTAATTTTGCGCCGTAAAATGTTTGCCACCAATATCCGCTTGGCTGTCGTCAGCGTAATGCCGCAGGCCAAAAGGCATTGAGGCCACGTTTGCATTCTCGCCGTGTCCTTTGGAGCGCCTATTTCCGCTGCATTTTGCAATTTGCAATTTGAATTGCTACGTGAAAGGCACTTTTCTCCACGCCCATATGCGCTGGCTAATTGCTATGCAACAACAAGAACTGCAAGAATTTAAGTAGAGCACAGTAAAATCTAAATAGCCAACATGGAGGAGGATGTTTATGCCACCCTCAACTATAGCGACAGCGAGGGTACAGCTGAGGAGGACGAGGATGGCTGGAACAGCCTGGAGATGAGCGTCGAACAGCTGCAGCATTTGCTGCTCTGGCAGCTGCCCGATCGGGCCAACTATACGGACCAACAGGCACTGGCCAATTGGAATTTAAGCAATGCAACCGCAATGCCAACGCCAAGTCCCGCTCAGCCCGTGTTCGATGCAAACAACTATTGGGCCCTGCTCGCCTTGGTGTTGGTCTTTGGCACCGCGGCGGGCAATATCCTGGTCTGTTTGGCCATCGCCTGGGAGCGTCGTCTGCAGAATGTGACCAACTACTTTCTCATGTCGCTGGCCATCACGGATCTAATGGTTGCCGTTCTCGTCATGCCACTGGGCATCCTTACCCTGGTTAAAGGTGAGTGCTAAGCAGAAGCAGCTTTTCTATATATATATATATATATTTATGATTCTGTTTGTGTTGAGCATTAGCGAGCCGTGGCAACAAGAACTATGCCCTTTGAATTTAACTTTTAGTTTTTCACTAATTTTTCACTGCTGGGGTGGAAATGTGAAACTCGTCTTAAATTAGATTTTAGTTCTGTTTATCAGCTAACTGATGATTTTAAATTACTATCTATAATTATTACGTTTTTTTCGAATAACGATTATTTAACTATCAAATTCCCACTGATTTATCATTCGGAAATGTGCATTATTTTCAAACGATGAAACTTATTTTTAATTTTTTTTTTTTTTTTTAAATTCGATTAGATGCTATTATAATGATATATAAAGATAATATGGGTTATTCAATACAATTTGAATTTCCATTCAGAAAGGGGAATTTTTTTTTTAATAAGTGAAACTAGTTTTTATGCTTTATTAAATCCGATCAAATGCTATCATGATGATATATAAAGAAAATATTACGGGTATTCAATACAATTTTGAATTTCCACTCATTGTGGCGAATTTTTGTTTTTAAATAGGTGAAACTTATTTTTCATGCTTTTTCCAATCCGATCAAATGCTGTCATGATGATACGTAAAGAAAATATAATGGATTATTCAATACTATTATTGAATTAATATACGACATACGTCTCTTTAAGAAAATAAGCTTTCCACGCGTTTTTCACTTAGAGTGACGAAATTACCAAAACACGCCGTTAAACAGCTTTAAACTTAGCAGCTGCTTTGAAAATGTCTTGGCGCCGTCTATTCCTTTGTTCATGCATCAGAGCAAAGGGAACGTTTCCGATTCTGTATAGTGTATAACAATGCACGTTTAATGCGCTTGCAATCAGCGTGGTCCGGTACACACACATACTTACACACAAACACACATACACACAGACACACGAAAACGCGCGTCCTTGGGCATCCTTTGGCTGTCGCTGACACGCAGCCTGATGCGGCGCGCATATAATGAAGCTGCCTGTCAATGGCGGCCAAGTCGGAGCACGCCTCGCCGATTGCATTATGTGGCAGATATTTCGATCAAAGCGACTAAACAAAAACCAGAATAAACTCAATGAAAAGCGCCAGAAAAACAGTGGGAAATGGGAAGGGGAAGGGGAAGGGGAAGGGGGTTAAGAAAAACTAGCGGGTTGCCGACAATTTAATAAGCGCGTCTCTTTTGTTGGGCACAGCCTGGCGAAGACAATGGCCAGACAGCAGCTCGGCAAACGGAAGCGTTTTTGGCTTCAGTGCAGCATAAAAATTGCATTAGACGTGCCAAACGAGCGAAGCACTTGGAGAGCAGACCAAGAGGAGCCGCAGGAGCGAACAGGAGCGGCAGCTGGCAGTTGGCACTAGTTGCCCCACCGCGTCCTCCCTCTGCAGCCATGTTGACAGTTTTGTTTGTGCGCTTTGGGAGCCATTACACACACAAAGGTACACCTGCAGGCGCACCTGGCAAATCGCATTGCCAAAGTGAGCAATGCAGTCGAGCGACCTTTGAGTGTGGGCGTTGGGCGTGGCAGCTTCTGCTGTGCAAACAAATGGCTGCCTGTTATATCAAGTGTGAAAAATACTGCATATAACAGCAAAAAAAGCAGAAAAAAAGGAAGGAAAACAAGAGTGCGCCAGTAGGGAGTGCGCGACTATGAGATATCTGAGAACTGTCTTTGCTAGGATTGCCTTGCCTCCTCTAAACGGGGTTTATAACAAACCGAATAGAGAATATCAACCGTCCAATTGGCATATATTCGGAGCTATAAAAATGACAGTCAAATATGTGTATATACCAACAATCTAGGCCTTATCTCTTAAAATTCAGAGGGATTAATGAAGAAGGCCAAACTGAGATATATGAAAAATAGAAGAAGCCGTAATCGATATATATCGATATACAAGATATTGAATATTCCCTCTTTTGCCTGTTGCATACACTTGCATCGCTGCAATATACCCCTTGCTTAATCCATTTTCAGTGGGTAACGGCTACAGAAAAGCTTATGCGACACTTTTGGCAGTCAAAGAAGAAAAAATTTGAATGCCGAACCGTGTTAGCCAGGGTCGTAGCTAAGCTGCCGATAAAAACGGTTGAATATATGGAAAAGTAATCGAGAATATTTTATATCTGACACATACAGTATGTCAATAAAGTGTTTTTACTAACAAAAAAAAACTAATTTTTTGGGTTTAGTTGAAAATAAATGTACCTAAAAGTGAGAATTTTTTTTCAATTCTAATTTATTTCGATTCTATATTTTTCCTAGAACTTAATGGCAAAAAGAATTGTTAAATAACATTACCCAAACATTTTATAAAATTAAAAAACTAAAAACATTCAAATTTTATGCTGTCAATAAAGTGTTTTTACACGAAACTTTATTACTAAATAACAATGTTAAAAAAACAGGAATATTTTTTTTTAATACTTTGTGTGGCTGCCATTAGCGTCACATACAGCCTGCAATCGCCGTTTCATTGAAACAATAAGGTTTTGTATGTATGTTTCTGGAATCTTCTGCCATTCTTCCAGTACAGCAGCTTTTAAATCAGTTTTTGATTTTGGACTCCGCTTTGCGACTTTTTTTTTCAAATATGACCACACATTTTCTATTGGATTCATATCTGGACTTTGTGGTGGAGTGTCTAACACCTTTCCACAGTTGTACAACAGCCAAACTCTTACCATATGAGCTTTATGCTTCGGGTCATTGTCCTGGTAAAATTTAAAAATTGGCTTATTGTCCTCATAGAATCCAAATTTCTGTGCACTACTGACGAGATGTGTCTGTAAAATGCTCAGATATTGTCTAGCATCCATGGTATTCTCAATGAAGGTCAAATCTCCTACACCCTTGCTCGAAATACACCCCCACACCATCACTGATAGTTTTCCGAATTTAACGGTTGGAATAATATTGCGGTTTTCCAACGCTGTTAGTGGCTTTCTCCAGACTCTGGATGGCCCATCGTTGTAGAATAGCATCATCTTGCTTTCGTCACAGAATATGACGTTACTCCAAAAATCGTTCGAACTATTTACATGGACTTGAGCGAACGATAGCCGCTTCAAAATATTCGCCGCCGATAGTAGAGGTTTTTTCCTGGCAACTCGTGATGTGTAGTCATTGGAATTCAGTAATTTTCGGACAGTTTCATGTAACACATCAACACCACTTTCTTCCTTGAACTCCTGAGCAATATCCCTAAGCGAAATTTGTGGATTTTTCTCAATTTTTCTCAGAATTTTTCGCTTATCTCTGTCAGAAATTTTGCAGGGTCGACCACATACTGGCTTTGCCTCTAGCCTATCTTCCTTATTGGCTCTGTTTAATATGTTGTATATCGTTGCTTTTGATAAATTAAACATATCAGCCAGTTCCGAGACTTGACGTCCCATCTGATGGTTATAATACACCAGCTGAGCGACTTCAAAAGTTGTTCTTTTTCCTGGCATTTTATTTTTCATAAAATTAAAGCAAAACGTTATAAATTGCAATAGAAAATGACAAGAAAAGTCGAAGACACAAGAGAAGCCAAAACGCATGGGCCCAAATCTAACGGGATCACCCAAAAGAGAACGGCAAAACAATTTACCGTAGCTGTAAAAACACTTTATTGACAGCATAAAATGTGAATGTTTTTAGTTTTTTAATTTTATAAAATGTTTGGGTAATGTTATTTAACAATTCTTTTTGCCATTAAGTTCTAGGAGAAATATAGAATCGAAATAAATTATAATTGAAAAAAAATTCTCACTTTTAGGTACATTTATTTTCAACTAAACCCAAAAAATTAGTTTTTTTTTGTTAGTAAAAACACTTTATTGACATACTGTATATATATAAGCCACAGCCAATGCGGCAATTGTACGAGTACAGCACTAAAATATGCTTTTCCATGGGCAACTGAAGGACTTGCGGGCAAAGCACTTGTAAACCACACTTTATGCAGATTCCTGCATAATCAAGGCGCTGACCACGCCATCTAGTCTGCGTTAACCAACACTTGTAAAATGCACTTTATGCCGCGCCCGACAAATGCGGTAATTATCATTACATAATTAATATAATTCGTAAATCGGCATAAAGCGTCAGCTTATTAATAATGGTAAGTGCAATTAATGCCACGCCCACCGCCCCACAACACAGATTAACTGCAAAACCTGAAAATATTTTAAAAATCAAATACACTTTCACGGAATCTGCCAAACAAATCTGAATTGATGTGAAAAGTGTGCGCAAAGCGTCAGCGTAAATAAATTAAGTGGCAACGCCAACAGCAGCGCATAATAAAACACAAAGGCGGTCGCAAATCAAAAGTATGGCCACAAATAATAATAATCATAATAATAAAAACGAGCGAATGAAGAGCAACAGCAACAACAACTAACGAGAAATAAACAGCATAATTAATTGAGCGCAAATTGGCGGCGCTGTGATTTTTGCCGACAGCGTCGCAAAGTAGGCAATGAAATTTTACAAGGCAATAGGCAGAAACAGAAGAAGAAGAACAGCAGCAGCTCAAGCAAGCGACAGACAGAGACGGTAAGCGGCAAGCTGCGACAGAGTTGTATAACTGTACATAGGATTAGGATAGAAATAGGAGACAAAGAACAACAACAACAACAACAGTTCGCTGAGCAATAGAAAGCGGGATAAAAGCAAATTTATCATTTCAATGCTCTTTGCTTTCGTTGTTGTTGTTGTCGTTGTTGTCAAAAAGCATTTTAAGCGCTTAAGCTACGACACGCACCAAGAGGTATGTCTCTTGCTGTGTAAAAGAGAGCGTGAGAGAAAGAGAGGACGAGGGGGTGGGGGGGGGGAGAGGAAGTGAGGCGGTGAGATTCACTGGGGACAGTCTTAAACAAAAACAACAAATTTTTGGAGCATGTGTCGCAGCTCAATTGAGTTTATCACGCACAAGCTGTTCTGCAATTCGAAATCTGAAATCGCCAAT